CTTAACAGAACAGACTGACCAAAAAATAGTCATGGACAAAAATAAAAACAAAATAGTCATGGACAAAAATAAAAACCTTGCATGTTTCCTAATTAATGTCATACATGTAGCTCAGTCGCAGGTTGCTAACCGCAAAAGAAAACACAGTAGACTTGGATTACATCGGAGGCTTCCCAGAACCAAGCAGCTGACCAATTAAATTATTCACCTGCCCAAAATAAATCTGCTTAGACAATAGACAATCACTATTTGCAGTTTCCCGTTACATCTTGTTACATCTTGTTTCGACCGTGTCCGTGAGGACCCTGCAAAACACACAAGCTGTCTTGATGAATAGGCGGGCGGACGTTGTCTGGCGGGCGGACGCCTTTCTCTCCAGCTGATGCGGATCGAGAGACTGCTGCTCCATACTCCAAGTCGGGCGGTCGTCCTCCTACTCCTGGCGCTGCTCCACACTCCAAGCCGGGGGGTCGGTATCTGTCAAAGGCACTCCGACGCTCAAGTCAGTAATATGACAGAGCAATATGTGATGCATGTGTTGCATCGTAAGGAAAGTGGGTCTTGAACTCATACCTGAGACCTTTATTTATACTGATTGTAATGGGCTTTTACCTTTTGGAGGCCTGGAAACGGCCCAATAATACCTTAATCTTCGTTAAGGGCTTTAATGTGTCATTAGTATTTAACCGTGTAGTTAACCAAGCACTGGACGCTCGGTCCTGTCTGCTCACCTGGGCGGACGTTCAGTTCGTGACTGGGCTTGGAGGGTCGCTCGGTCCATGTGCGGCCGCGCGGCATTCACTTGGACGTTCGGTCAATGTTTGCTAAGTACCGGTCGGTACATAACGTTAGTTTGTACGCCCGGACGACAATGACCTTGGTCGGGCGGCATTGTGTTAAACGCTCGCGGATGTCTTGGCGTCCGGTCCTATCCTGCTGGTACATGGGCGTCCGCCCTTCCATACCTTTTCGCCAATTAGGATGACTCGGGCGGCCGGTCCGCTAACTAATCGCGGATGTCTTTCCGTACGGCGTCCGGTCTTGCTGTACATAAGTCCCCTGAGCCCGAGCATAAATTTATTATGCAAAGGGGTTTTGTCCCCGCCTGGATGGGTAACATTGGAACACGAGTCGTTCCATGAAAGCTCGCACAACTGTTCTTTTGGACGTTCGGTCTTGATTGGCTGGACGCTCGAATGTTGAATGCCAAATCTGGCTAACGTTGAGGGCGGACGACCGAGACTTCAGGCTTGAAAGCCGGACGGTCGATTGTTGAACATTAGCTTTTACTGTGGTTTATTTAACTGTGTGATGGCGGGTCAGAATGATGGTCGGCCAGATGGACGGTCTGAAGGGTACTCGGCCAGTGACGTCCGGTCATAATGACTGTCAGACAGGATGGGAACCAGTCGATTATGTCGTTCGGTCATACTGAACGCTCGATTTGGGGAGTCGTCCTGGGTGGGCGTTCGGTTTTGTTTGCCCACCTGGATGGACGTTCGCCATTTTGAGCGGACGTTCGTTTCATGAACTGCTGGACGCTCGCCATCTTGGACGGACGTTCGTTTCATGACTGGACGGCTTGACACGGGTGGACGCTTCGTCCATTAAATTTGAGGGGCGGACGTTCTTTCATGAACGGCTGGACGCTCGCCATCTTGGACGGACGTTCGTTTCATGACTGGACGGCTTGACACGGGTGGACGCTTCGTCCTGATGGTACACATCTTAAGCAAAAACCATTTTGAAGTCAGAAATTCTGTCACCCACATACAATTTATTTGGCTTCCCTTGCATGAAATTATCAAGACTATTCTCAAAATCTAAACAAGAATTTTCAAAGAGAGCAAGCATCTAACCAAGTACTCTCTGAAACCCCACTAAGATTTCATCATAAAACATCCATCTGAGAAAACTATCTTATAGGATAATATTATGTTTGGCGAGAAAATAACAAAATGACAGACAACTCAAAAAGTGTCAGTGATAGATCCGAAAGTAAAGTTAAGCAAAATCTTACCTGCCAGTATTTAGAAACACAGCGGTCAACTGCAACTATTTTCACCCATATTTAGCTCAGACTCCTTGTACCTGAGAAGAAAAGGTGATAACAGATATTATAATGACATTCACAATGGCCATCATCAAAATAATGCAGCAGCGGATAGCTGAGAAATAAGAAACTAATTTACAAATTGACTGGACTTGACTGGATGGCATTTAAAGAGCATCAAACATGACAGTTTCTCAAGCAGTTAAAAAATTAGAGAAGAGTTTCCCCCACCTTTCGTCAACACACTTTTTGAAACAGGTCTGGGTCATCCTGAATGGTAAAAGTAACAAAGCATTAGCCAAATGAATTATTATGCCACCGATGAATCTTCTCAAACAAAAAGCAGCTATATTCTACATTATACTTGCTAACAGCAGCAAAACTATCAAGGCAGGCAAGAACAGAGAACCTACTTGTTGAATAATTCGACCCTATATTCCATCTCCTTTTCAGCCATTCCAAATATCTGTTCCATTATCACATGAATGATTGAAACACATCCAAAAATAAGAAATACTAAATAATCAAATAACACCGAAAAGGCCCAAAGTTGAAGTTGAAATTAGTTTGAAATTATCAGATAACAACATCAATCACCAGATTAATTTTTCCAAATTTGGAGAAATAGAAAGGAATACCTACCTGTTCTTTTTCAAAGGCAGAAGGTGAGCTATTGGCAGCCATTGTAGTCTGAAATAAGATAACAGAACTATTAGAATTGGATTGGTGTTGAAGGCTTAAGACGAAGGGCATCATCGTGTAGATTTCGTTATTCTAATGCAACGGTTTACAACCAAACAAATGTCCACTATTGATTCCTTATCAAATTTATGTATCATCTTCACCTAGAATTGTCATATTATATTTCGCACAAGTCATGTTAATAAGAACACAGGCGATCCTTGTACACTGAGATTTGACTAATTCGAGAATTAAAGCATGTGAACTGGATCAACCAGATGCCGAGAGAAACTTATGTCTACAATTTGGGATGAAAAGTTTGCAGAGTAAACCAAAAAAAAAATGAACACTGAACAACAAAAACATGAGAATTTCTTGAAACCCTCCCAACATATCACCAAGAACTAAATGATTGAGAAGCAAACAAAATCATGGTCATGATTTTCAGCTAGAGTCATTCAGCACTTCATCTAACAACTTTTCTTTTCAAGTCAGGATACACCATGCTTCTCACTTGAGCACAAAACACTACCTACGAAGTCCAAAATTTTCCATGTTTGTAATCAATTTAATCTTCCTTGTTGTTCATATCTAGCATAATGACCAGTGTCAAGTATAAATACAAATCTCCAACCAGCCAAATCATCCATCCTCTCCTCCCCACGACTCAAAAACGACATCTCAAGAAGATTAAAAGTGGAATTATATGAACAAAGGGTTATTTCAATCTTCCATGGTGTAGTCTATACGCGAAACTTAGTCCAATAGAAACAACGTGAATGGAATAGGATTTCAAAAAGGCCATTGTACTAAAGCTCATGCCAGTACCAATATTTGTTCAACAAATATTTCAGTGGCTAAAATCCCCAACTCACTTCAAATTAACTTACGGAAATCATACAACTCTGCGATCATAGACACACTACTTTTAAACTAAAATGGGCATATATGAGAGGCTTCACAGAAGCAAAACAGGTAGGTTCTGAATTTTGCTTGTTGCCAAAAAAATAAAATACTGTTTTCCATTCTCACTTGACTTGTAGTCCTAGGTGGTGGAAACAAATTAGTGTTTTTATTTTATCAAATTGGTCTTGGTCATGTTTCTGTTTGTGTTTTTGTGCTGTAGGTGAACTGAGAATTTTTTAACATTCATTAGAAAATTAGAAGAAGGAAAACTGCCTCATGGTTAAGAGAGTCTGTATTGCAGCTTGGTCCAACTTTCATTAAACTTGGTCAGTTGTCATCAACAAGGTCGGATCTGTTTCCACGTGAATTTGTGGATGAGCTCGTAAAATTGCAGGTATTTCTTCTGTCATTTTCAGGATCATCATCTAGACATTTCCTATTTTTTGTTAATAAACGAAAAGGGCTAGTTTTTTTGAGTAAATAGAGTGAATCATCAAATTTATTTATATTTTGGACTATATACAAGAGTTTTACTTGATAACAATATAACATTGTACGACATGGTTCCTGCCTTCTCTCCTGAGAAAGCAAGAAAATTATTGAGAGTGAATTAGGAGCTTCCATTGACATGTATTAAAGGTTTGAAGATCGACCAATTGCCTCTGCTAGTCTCGGTCAGGTGTTTGATTTATATTTTTCGTTAAATTGAAAATTTGACTTACACTTTAATTACTGCTGTTATTAATATGGTAACATGAATTCCGGGGACACATATTTGTAGGTTCATCGTGCTATTCTGCATAATGGAGAAAAAGTAGTAGTCAAAGTTCAAAGGCCAGTTCTGAAGAAGCTTTTCGACATTGATTTGAGTAAGTTGTGCACATTTTGTTTCGTGAATGATTTTGTTTGTTATTCTGACATGTTTGCTTGCTCTATCCAGAAACTTAAAACTGATCGCAGAGTATTTTCCAGAGAAATGAAGCTTTTGGTGGGTCCACTCAGAGATTGGATTGGAATATAATGAAGAATGTTGCAACGTAAGTTAATAAGCTTTGGAAGTATATCGTTTATGGAGATTTCATGAAGTAAATTCATATGTAAATTAACGTCATTGACATAGTCAGTGAATTTCCCTTCTATTATTCCAATGCTTTCTACAATTTATAGTGTTTCTGTTTAGGAACCTTTTAAGAATCCTATCTATCTCCCTTACTATCACACCTCAGTACTCTAACAGAAAGCAATTGAAAAAGAAATGATTTGTTCACATCCAAGAATCAAGATACAATTGGGAAACCAGGAGCTTAACCTCCCTCACCAAGTCTAACTGGTCTGTAACTCAAGAGTAAAAATCTGTCAACTGAAAACAATAACAGAGGTCCTTTTACAGAGACCTTCTTCCCGCCCCACTTAACTGTTTACAGTTAAGTACTCTGCCTCACCTTTCGCTCTCATAAACCCTCCAATCCAACAGTTGACTCAGCTGTACTTCGAAATTTTGTTTGTAGCGTTTCATATTTAGTTTTTGTTGCTTTCACGTATAGGTGAAGAAACATTTGAAAAATGGGAAAATTGTTTCTATGGGGTTTGGATTCATTGAGTTTGACTCCCTGAAACTGCTACAAATGTTTGCAGAGATTTGCAGGTATTTACATGTTATTTGCATTTTCAGATCCTAATTCTGCTTCTCATTTTTTAAATTCTATTCTTGTTTTGGATTAGGGGACAGTTTTGGACAGCCGTGCTCTTATTTTACAACCTTGTCATGTCAAGAATGATGCACAGAAAAACAAAAGACAATGTGAGAACGGATCAAGAGTTCAACAAACATGCTCGTAAGAGAATGTTGCTTTTGAGTGCAACAGAGGAGAAGGATCTAAGACGATTTGTTTAGCATCCTTGGCCAGGTGATTTAATTGTAAGTATGTACTAGCAGGAGGCACAAAATGCTCTCAAAGCATTCAAGCACCATTCTATGGGAGCATCTGGTGTAGTCAACAAATCTTGCATTTGATAAAATTTAGTGAATCCATTGTGTTCTTCCAAGTACTTTAGAACTAATAGCCACTATTTTCAGGTGATAGAGAGAGCGAAAGAAGGTGAGAGTTTGGAAGAACTGCGAGCACGAACCAGCTTCTCAATTTAGTGACAACACAACGGATTTCAAGCTATTAAATTATCCAAGAAAAAGAATGGACGTTGACATCTTAGATGAAGGGAAGATGAAGTTTGGAAGATTGATGACTAAAACAGTTTTTGTGCATATGTCCTGAAATTCTGGGATCACAATTTTGTCATAGGTTCTAAGATATCGCATACCATCTCAAGTGTTAAACAGCTTCTAACATTAGTTTGTTTATTCTTATCCATAATTCAATCTCCTATAAAATTGTTCTCTATTTTACACTAAACTAAAATCCTCGAATCATAACAAGTTTTAAGTACATGCAGAGGCAAACACTGAAACAGAAAGAGGAGGTGATTAACTAACAATGAAATAGAAAAATAACACTGAGTAAGAGAGATTCTAATATAATGAACACATTTCAAAACTAAAACTCACAACACAATAGAACGATCCGGCCTTCAATCCCAAATCTTCTAACTTCGTACGAAAATTTCGAGAAATTTGAGTTGAGAAACCAGGAAAAGAGGCTAAAAATAAAATAAAGGTTTAATCCTTTTTTACGTCTTATTTGTGTAGGAATGTCTCATATAGGTCCTCGTTTTCTAAAGTGTATCAAAATGGTCCTTAATTTTGAAAATTGATATCAATTTAGTCATTTCCGTTAAGTTGGCTGGACGGCGTTAAAAAAATTATGAGTGGGATCTGAGATGACGAACGACGCTCGTCCACCACCGAAGTAACGCTCGTCCACCACGAACGAAGCTCCTCGGCACACCAGCGAACGAGATCAAGAATTTTTGTAATGTTGTACTTGGAATAAGAGGCTTGAAAAGATTCACTCCAACTCTAAACCAAAAATCAAATTACGACAGAAAAATGTGTAAACCATAAATCAAATTACGCCAGTAACATATAACAGAAAGCTTTTCTTTTTTTTATTGCTGAATGATCTATTTGGATACTAAGAAAACTTCACGTTCACAGTATCTAAGACTAAAACCTAAAATATGTAGCTAAATTTCGGTCCACCTTCCCGTCTGGCGTAATACATTTGGAATTGCATGTACGGTGATGAAGGAAGCAGGATCTTTGAGCTTGCACGAAACGCTGGCTTTGAAAAAGGGCTTACAAAAGCTCAACAACAAGGGCAGATGCCCTCCTCCTCCGTTGCAAATGCCACCGAATCGTACTCCCATTCTTTGCTTCAATACCTGCAGTATATAACTTTTCGATTAACGAATCCAAAAACAAAATTCAAATTTATGAAAGACCGAACATGTACTCTATATTGTAAAATAACAAAGTTTTGAACAGAGCATATACCCAAAAGCGTCACCCGAATGCGAGCACCACTGCAACCGAGAGGATGACCCAGTGCAACAGCTCCACCATGTACATTACTTTTTCCTGCAAAATAATAGTTACTTGAGTGAAAGGAATAAATGGCAGGGTACAGCCATTAATTATCGCGGTTAAGTTAAATTATGGATTATAGAAAAACATTAACATGTTCAGCACTATGCAAAGATGGGTTTGAAGCCTACGACAGCAACATTCTTTAAGATATTAGAGATACGGCCATTAGCCACAATAATGTTAAATTATGGGGTGTAGACAAATTGTAGCATGCTCTGCACTATGCAAAGAGGGATTCGGGACCTACAACAGCATCCACTCTTCAAGACAGTCAACAGAAAACACTATAGGATTACAACTTTCACTCGATGACAAAGAGAAACTTACCGAATTAGTCCAGAAGTTTTTGGTTTGCAAGAGCCACAACCTATGGACAGTAATATGAACAGTTAAAATCTATAGCAGCATGAATTGAAAAAGTACTACAATTCACCAGTAATTCCTACCGCAAAAGCTTCATTAATTTCGTAAAAGTCAATTTGTGAAGCCTCCAACCCTGAATTGGAAATGGCTTTGGGAATGGCAAGGGATGGAGCCGTCGTAAATAACTCTGGTTCCTGCACAGCCCAAACTTATGAGTATGAAATTATACTAATAATATAACAAATGCTAGAAATAGTGTGAATACCGGTATCGTTTTTTCTATTTCTTATTTCTTATGGTCTGAAGATGTATTCTATTTTAAAATATATTTCATGTACCTGAGCAGCGTCAGCAACCAGTGATTTTTGCAATAACTTGAAGCCCAAGCTCAGTGCCTTCTCCACTCACCAAAACTAATGCAGCAGCACCATCACTGTTGGAAAGAGCATTTTCATTTTTATTAAAATATTAAACTAATGAGGGCTGCTAATTATCATTTGAGAATTTAATTAATGATAAATGAATACACAAAGAAACATATAAAATATTAAATATGTCTAAATACAACTCTAACTGAATCACTTGTGGCTCAAAGATAATATAGGCAAAAATACTTGTCTTCCTGACGACATTCTTTGCTATCTATACTACCAGGAGAACGAGGCAGATTTACAAGCATTGTTCTTCCCCATACTACCCCTTAGTCCAACACATATAAGAGATTTATATAGTGGAAAGTCCATTTTTTATAAGAATAAGATAAGAAAATTTAACCATACAACAATATATGGATGGACCATCAATACAACCACATGGATGGTCAGTATTAAAAGTTTTTAAGTTCACATAACAATTAAAAAAATCATTTGACAGTTTAAAACTACTCACATGACTAGGGGGACTTTTAAATTTTTATCATTCATAATAACATCAAATGGTGAGTAAGTAGCATCCAAATCGTTAAACATTAAAAAAGTTAGCAAATTTTGATAACATATTAACCTTATGCGAAGCATTGCCAGCAGTAACAGAACCTCCGGTCTCCTTGAAACTTGGACGAAGTTTGCGTAACTTGGCAGCATCAAACTGGCATAGGAAAAAGAAAATATAACAATATATTAACTTGTATTCGACAGCAAGTATAAACAAATCTATTGACTATAAACTTACTAAATTTTTGCAGCTAGAAGCTGTATAAAAGTGTTGTTTATGAGGAGGAAAAAAAAATTAAATTCCAATCCCAACTCCTGATTAATTGTTTACCTTAATAGACCTGGACATATTCACAATATTATCCAATATCCATATAACTCATGCTTAGAAAACCTATGGCGTTCAAACATATTTCAGACTCATGAAACTGGGAAATATTATTAGATAAACAAGTGTTTTTGTAGGCTAAACTACTATTCATACAAGTATTACCATGTTTCAACTTATTTATGGGGTTACCTTTCCTATGCCTTCATCCCTATCAACAACTGTTGAAGGTTTTCCCCTTCCACCAGAGACTTCAACTGGAACAATTTCCCATTTAAAGGCACCACTATCTTGGGCAGCAATTCACGTTCAAAACTCGAATCGCATAGTTGTCCTGAGGGAAAAACAGAGACATCACAAAAGTTATTACAATAATTTCTGCTAAAATCTTTCTAAAAAGACAATAATCCTAAAACCTGGTATTTCTCTTGTAAATGCATGGGTATCTGCAACAAGCTCAGCACACATCCCATCCCAACATCCAGACATCCCATAACCCATCTTTCAACATCCCATCAACAAGTCAACAAGTGAATCATGCCCGAGGCGCGATCCTTTCCTGAAGTTTTACTACTGAATCAGTTTCTGCCACAACTAGAACAAATCTTAAAGAGAGTCAAATTAAATGCAATATTGACCTTTCTTCAGCCAGGTACTTAGGTACATTAGACATGCTTTCCATACCACCAGCCACAACAACATCATTTGTGCCTAATTGAATACTCTGGGCTGCAAGCATTGTAGCTGCAATAACCAGAACAAATTTAATGTCCTTTTTCTATATTTTAAAAACATAAAATGATACAAATAGAATTCTCTTAATAATAAACCCACCTTTCATTCCTGATGCACAAACTTTGTTAACAGTAGTGCAGACTACTGAATTGGGTATTCCTGCTCCGAGAGCAGCTTGTCTTGCAGGAGCTTGCCCCAAATTAGCACTAAGAACATTTCCGAAAATTACTTCTTCCACAAGGGATGGATCAACATTAGCCCTTTTAAGAGCAGCTGTGTATCAATGAAAAAAACATGTAAACATGACAAGATCAAATGCAATGTAATGAGCACTGAAATATGGTTCCATAGTTACCTTCAATGGCTATAGAGCCTAGCTTAGTGGCAGATAGAGATGACAGAGTACCAAGAAATCCACCCATCGGCGTACGTGCAACACCAACAATGCAAACATCTATAGAAATCAAACATAGAAGATCAACTAACGAAAAGACATCCAGTCTGTCCGAGTTCAGAGATATGAAATTTAACGCTTTAATTTTTTATTTTTTTTTTCTTTATGATTTTGCCTGACGGATCAAACGAACTGTTCTAGAGGAAACTTTACGAGGTGAAATTAAGGGAATATAAACAGCGCGATACATCAATATACTCTAATTCGAAAGTGTAAGTAGGTAATCCAAAATATTTTATGAACGACCTCGGGGTTTTATGTAATCTGAAGAAGCTGCAGCTGCTGGCGCCATTGATAGATGAAAACGGAGTCTGTGATCCAAAACATTAAACACGGAGAGATTTAGGCTTAATTAGAAAACGAAGATACATAATATTTGAGAACTGATTTCAAGTTCGGAGGATACAAGAATCATCAAAACTGATTATCAAAGCACAAATCAACCTCTTAACGGTTAAACATTCGGAAATTGAAAAATACGAAAAAGCAGAGCGAGATTGTGCGACTGCTCCTCGTTCGTTGTTTTCGTATGCAAGCAAATAATATGCAATGAAAGATGACGATGAGAGAAGCGAGGGGGAAATGGAGATCTAGGAGAGAATCATGAGTAAAAAATAAATGATGAAGAAACAGATAAAAGCTGATGCATGCATCAAATGGATCTGAAGAAAATTGAGGAAAGAAAGTTTGGAATATACCTTTGTTAGCTATGTGTTTGTTGTTTGGTGGAAGGAGCAGTGAGAAGACGAAAGAGGAGTGAAGAGCGAATGAAAATGGGTGATGCGTGAGCTTATATATGGCGTGGTGGAAGACGCCACGAGTTACACGCGCCTTTCAATGCATACTATTGCTTAACGTGTTACTGGACAAGGCCAAGCACAACCCAATCGCTCTTATCTTCTTAACATTCTCATTCATCAACTTCAACTCTGATCCAAATGAGTGTTAGGTAGTAACCAATAATTATAATAATAATAATAATTATTATTATTATTTTTATTATTATTAACTCAAATTCATTATTAGTGTGATACATTTAAAAAACATTATTATTAGAATAATAATATGAAAAGTTATTAAGAGTGTGTTAAGGTTGATTACGTTGCGATGTTACAAACCGAGGTAATATATTGTTAATATTATGATGATTAGGGTGTGCGAAAATGCAAGATAGAAAAAATTGATTTTGATACTCTTTATTTTGGTAAGTAATTAATTTGTAACATGAAACAAAGACATTACAATAATGGTTTATTAAAAATAATTAATTTAAGGTAATTTGGTGTTCAAGAATGATTTAAGTGGAGAG